TCGTGCGGCAATAAGACGAATCATGCGTCCCGCCGTTTGAATAGGGATATTAAAGGACGGTAACACGGTAACGATCGATATCGGCCAACTCCCACTTCTCCGTACGGCTGCACTTCAGTTTTTGTTTTTTCTTTGGTTCTTCCTTGTTTTTGGGTGGTTTTTTTTTCGATAGAGGATCTGACAGGATTATAATCTGCTTTGTAGGAAGTACTCCTAACGCTGATGTGGAATGTAAGGTTAGCATACCGGTGTCAATGCTAGTTTGCTTGCGCCATTAGGAATATTCGTGTTAGTATCCTACAATTTCATTCTTTGTTTATGCTGTGAATTCTTCTTCTGAACTGCTAAAAACCTTTTCTTGTGGCTATGCGTTATTTCCTTTCAGGTTGTCCGTTTTTGTTTGATGACGAACAGAAGAATGAACAGTGGTGTAGTGCCTCCTCAAGAATGTGGTGAAGATAGCTGTAAGTTGTTAGATGAAATTTCGCGAATTATCTGAGTAGTTTCATATGGTGGTTTTGAACATCTCTGTCACAGCAGCTCTATTGCTATGGGCCCTCTTTGAAGTTTTAACTTTTATCAATGGGCTGTTTTCTGTTTGAAGTCAACAGTGCCGTGCAGTTTGAAGTTTAGCGCTTAAAGTTGGGTGGCGCATAACAGTGATACAGATGTGTAATAGTTTTTGCTGGTCAGGTGAAATGTTTGAATTCTATCGAGGTAATGTTTCAAGGCTGGCATTTTTTGCGAACCTTCTTAGCTTTCTGAATTCTGAGCATGATCGGAAACTTGAGGGACTCATTTCTAATGCAGGGCTTCATTATACCGAAACATGAGTTGGATATTCTCCGAGCTGGGTTTCTTTTGAAAACAAGTATTTTAGTAACTGTAACAAGTTAGCGACAAGTATTAATTTTAAAGTGTAACTATGGTAATGCGAAAGTGCGGACATCCAAAGTTCAATGTTTTCGTTGTTCATTGCCTTGGTTATTCACATGTCCATATCGAGTGCGTAATACATGAATAATTTCAAATAATGGTGCTAGTGCGACACTGCACTTCCTCAGACAATGTTTTTTCATTATGAGAGTTGCTATTAGATTTTGTAAAGTATTTCTGTATTGCTACATTTCTTCAGGTGTTACCCGACCCAAGCGACCAAGGTGGAGGAATAGTTGATGCTTCAAACAGTGAGTCTGCGTCCGTATTACTTCTCAGAAAATAAATCGTGTGTAGCCTGTAGTACGCTGCCGATGCGTGCAGATGATCTTTTCTGGCTTTTGCTCCTTTTTTGCTACTGCCCTCTCGAATGTTTGTTCATTCTCTGCATGGATGTGTTTTTTTTTCTGCTTACATGTGTTTCATGATGATTCACTTTCACTCTCTGTAATGTTGCTTTGAAGTGTGAAAGGAACATCCTTAAGTAAAAGTTTTATGAATTTATGATTGTACTGTACAAGATCTTATCACTTGATCTTCTTCTTCTGATGAAGGCAGTGTGTAATCTTCTTCCTCTGCAAAACTTATTTATCTTCTTTCCAGGCAAGGCACGGGTAGTCTGCATCCCGTGCATGTTGTTGTGAATATTCTTGGGCAACTCCCAACCGGAAGCCCTGAATACTGCTTTACTGGGACTTGTGTAAGTACTCTATGTAGGGACGTACCTTTTAATAGACCTTGTCCGTTATAAACCTGGACATCCTGCGACAATAAGATGTGATTGTCGCGGTGCGGATGAAGGCCCGGTTCTCTCGCAGCAAGGCCTTGAACCGCGACATTTCCGCAGCAATGCGGCGACGGCGCAGGATGTCCTTCTTGTGCAGCTTCTTTTCTTCGGCTCTTCTCTAGAATATATGTATTCTGTGTGTAATGAGAGATCAACCAAACTAACTAATAAACCTTCTCAGTCCTGATGAGAGCCATCCGTGCGGTTGTGACGAATCCTTGAAGTGTGCGGATGAGGTCGCTCATACGCGGGTGTTTAACGTCCAGTAGGACACCTATCTGTCTGAAACAGGAAAGAAAAGACATGGTCATGTCTCGTAAATGGCTAGAGTGCGCCAACCTGTGGAAGGCCTCCGCCGCGTTTGTGGTACGCAAATGGGTTATATCCCACTTTTGCCATAAATCCCTGAAAGGACCTTCATACCAGTTATTGCGCAAATATACTAAGAATTCAGCACACTTTTCATACACACCAGGTTCCAAGGAAGCTGGTGGTCGGAAAAGCGCGGGGACCCTAGTGTGCAGGTGTTTTGGTAAGAAAATTAACCCTTTTATAGTAGCCCACCACGACCGAACCCGTGCACAGCTGGAGGGTCCTCTTACCTGTGGGCGCAGCCCAAGCGCGTCCCTCTTTCTATTCCATGCCTGTGCCAAATGAAAGGCACACCCCTCGACGGACGCGCTTGGGAAGCGCCGCTTCGCTGCCTTTATAGCGGCTTGTTCGAAGTCCAGCAGAATCCGGATGTCTTGAGGCCCTCCAGCTGCAACAATAGCATCCTTCAGGTTCCCGTAGATCGTTTCATACACGCGTTGGTTTTTCCTAAATGAGAGGACATAGCGTTCAATAGTAAAATATGTAGTAATCCGCATACCTTCTGGTTATGGCAAAAAGTAGTGGTACATCCACCGAGTTTACCAGTACTCCATGAATAGTATATAGCTGGCCGGTTTTGTTAGTGGCGTCCGGCTGTAGATCATGGACGCCGTCCCCCACTAACGCATGAAGGCCAGCTCCTGCGGCTTTCTGCAGCATAGCGACACAATAGCGGACAGCTTCACAGATTATGAATGAAACATACCTCGATAATACTGCGAGAGAAATAAATGTGTAGATCTGCAGTTTTGTACTGCAGAAAAGCTGTGCCATCTCGGAGGAAGGCATATTCACGTGGCACCACCTCCATGTTTACACGTGTATCGTGTAATTTTGCCGTCGCTCTAGACTTCCATGTACACTATTGCTTCAGGACATTACATTAAAATGGCAGTTTACCTCGCTATTGTGCTTCGACGCGAAACGTATCCTTCGCGGTAGAAGTAGTAGAGCATCTCGTCACGTTCAGCTTCATCTAGACATGTTATTATGCTGCAAAAGACACGTTTGCTATTTCGAATGCGATCTACCTGCATCTTCTGTATAGTGCACTTTTTCTGCGATTTTTTGCCATAGCTGTCGTGGCTTGATGTTAACATTAGCCGTGCTGTTGTTGTTTACATCGCGACAAGACTAAATCTTTACATTAAGTTGTAAATTCTCCTGCACTTTCCAAGTTTATCTCCCATCACCTTATATACCATACGGTTAACCCGTTCCTGTGCATTTTTCCACGGGATGCACACGTGCGGAAGCTGCACAGGGTCTCCAACTAGATCGCTGTCGTTCCTTACCTGAAGTGGCTTGTGGTACGAGAGCCCGTCGTTACAGAACAGTTTTTCTTACCGCTATACTAGTTGTGCGACCGTTTTTTTTACACCCTGTGCAACGGTATACCACCGTGCCTTTCGTAGTAGTGCGAAGATGCTGAAATGTGTAGCACAGCGACCCTCCTAAATGAATTCAGTTGCTCATAATGAACGTATAAACATAATGTTAGCACTTTTACCTGGAATAGGGTATCTAATAACATTATGAGTGCCCCTCTGGCTTGCTTCTACAATGCCGTGGAAGCAAGCACCATCGAGATTCACCCTTTTATGGGGGCGGGGAAGTTGCGCTTCATGAGCTACAAAAAATTAGAGTAACCAATTTTCGTACGTTTCCTCGGACACATTGATGTACAAATTACCTGGTGGAGCTTCTGGAGCGCCACTTAGTGTGTTCAGTTGCTCCACAGAAACGTGCGGCTCTGAAAGTAAATATGAACAGATGAGCATAGGTAAAATGTATGCATTTCCAATAGCAATAATAGCCATTTCCATACTTCAATGTATTGAATCACCTTCATCTACGAGCACAGCGCCGTCGCGTTCTTGAAAGCCCTGAAGAGGGCTGTTGGGTTCTTCAAAAGATTGCGCAGCCATCGTTCTTGTTAGCACTGATATATCAATAATTAATAACCATCAACATAACTCATTTGGTTAAGGACAGTTGAAGTATTAGGTATGTGTGCAAAACCTTAGCGCTTCACGAAAGGGTTCATGTTGATAAAAACACATGACAATCCTCGTAAATGTGCTAAGAAGATAAGTAATCAGCACAACATTAGGTGTAGAATTCTGGATGTGAAGAATTTCAGACCATAAAACAGCAGAAGAGGCCGATAAAATAGTGCGAATAGAAGAGAATACAGTAGAGATTACTAGTACTCGTAAATGCGGTAGAAATAGGCATGTAATAAGCAGAAGAAATAATAAGAGAATAAGGGAGACCCATGCATCCACGTTATCGCGCGCTGTTGCAAAACAAGTGCTCCAATCGCAAAACCACAGCTTAGCAAAGCGCACGTCCAAGAGCCGGCGCCGCGCGACGCGCCGCGCGCGGTGGGCGCTCCTCCGGACGATCCTGTTGAGTGTCTCCCCGCCGAAGCCGTCGCTTCGCACATAGCTGGGCACACTTTGCAGCGTGGAGTCGAATCGTCGCAGGCAAGCTCGACAAGGGGATCCAATCTTTGTGATCAGACAGGTTCAACACTCAGCTTCATCGCACCGCCTTTTCTTGGTGGCAAATGAACACTTATATGCGGCGTTCATCAACAATTTTTTTTTCCTGGTCCTCAGGATTTTTCGAGTCTTGGACCAAGAGTTTGTCCATGGCTTGGCATTTTGAGAACACGTATTCGGGACGAAACTGGACTGATGCCGCACCGATGTCGAATTGAGGCGCGGCATCGGTTTCGCTGATAGTGACGCCTGATTGTGAAAAAGTGGCGGGAGGATCAATTCGAGCAATTTAAACTTTCGTGTGGGCTAGGGCTGTGCAAATTTACTAAGATACAAGAAGCTGAAGTACGTAGGCTTCCGCAGCAGCGCCTGCTGCCCTATCGTCTGTTTGTGATTTCGCTGCTCATTCAGTTCGATTTGTTCAAGATTATTACACTCGCAAGCACATAGTGTGTATTCCAAAACATAATAGAGAGGCAAAACTAGTTAACTCCAACAAAAGAACCAAGTTAAGATACACACATCAAAAATATAAAAAGAAAAATCGGCAGGAAGTTTAGATTCGGCGGATGATCAGCAATGACCCCCCCCCCCCCCCCCCCCCCCCCCCCCCCCCCCCCCCCCCCCCCCCCCCCCCCCCCCCCCCCCCCCCCCCCCCCCCCCCCCCCCCCCCCCCCCCCCCCCCCCCCCCCCCCCCCCCCCCCCCCCCCCCCCCCCCCCCCCCCCCCCCCCCCCCCCCCCCCCCCCCCCCCCCCCCCCCCCCCCCCCCCCCCCCCCCTAGACATAGCAAGGCAAGTCCTCAGCACTGCGATTTGCAGATCTTGTTTGAAAACTGGCGGGGCTTATTGCAAATGGGGCGGCAGCATGCACATACAGTGGGCGGGGCTTCACGCAGCAACCCTAAAATGCAAAAATTTTGAAAAAACATCGAAATTCCGCGAAAAGCCAGTGGGCGTGGTCAGCCTAGAGTGCCAAACCCTTTAGAGAATGGGCGGAGTCGGCCATGTGTGAATGCACGGTGGTTTCCAGTCAAAGTGTTTGTGGGAAACAGCAAAAGCAGAAGTTATGAAACAAGATTTGAGAATCTATGTCCGCGCTGACAAGTGGGCGTGGCCGTCGGGGCGGGGCTCGCAGTGATGTCTGGCGTGATCTGGTTGATGAGTTGCCCGCCCTAATAAGTGTGGTTAACTTGATGAAAAGTGAGGGTGAATTTGGTTTGAAAAGGGGTGAATTTGGTTTGAAAAAGGGTGAATCTAAAGTTCTGATCCTTTGTTTCGAACTTTTTTCCGTCCAGATAGCGCTGCAGGTGGCTGAACAGCCAGTAGTCAGAAGGAGCGAGGTCAGGGCTGTAGGGAGGGTGGGCGACCATCAGCCATCCGTACTTCTCCAGCTCGGCCTGGGTCGCCTTTGCAGTGTGAGGTCGGGCGTTGTCATGGTGGAAGTAGATTTCCGCATTCCTTCCACGAGTACGGTCGACGTGATCT